GAGGTAAGCCATGCCCACAACACACACACACACACACACACAGAGAGACATACAGGGGAGGAGGACACACATGATTCACAGCCCGAATCATGACAGGACCCTCCCGCTCTCAATGGGCGCTTTCAGGTGCCCTACATTGGCCAGAGGGCACAAGAGGCTGAAAGACGCCCGCTTACGGAACGAGATGTTCTTCCTGAACTGGGGAAAGGGGTGGTTGAGAGCCCAGAGATGTGATGAAAGTATACATGTGCCAGCAGTGGAGAGAGAAGTATGTGCACACTCCACCCAAGAGACAGCGGTCTGTCCGTCTGAGGGTGGTAACCAAATGAGAGGCTGGTGTTGGCAACATAGGCAGAACAGGGCAAAGGGCCTTCCAGAACTGGGAGGAGAACTGCAAACAATAATGGGTGTCTTGAGACATGGATGGCTACCAGAAAGGTTATTTTATTAAAGCGTGTGTGGTGGAAACCAGGGTGACAGGTGAGCTTAGAGGAATGTCCCACTGAAGGATCAGGCACAAACAGACGGTTAGAGGTCCACTACCTGGGTAGGTTAAGGTGAAACTAAACCTTCCCGGCAACAAAGTCCACCGTGCCTGGAGAGAATTAAGCCGTTTGGTGGATCAGACGTAGGAGAGGTTTTTGTGGTTGGTCCAAAGTACAAATAGCTGTTCAACTACCACAGCCAATAGCTCTTGATTAGTGCTCTTGTAGCGTTTAGTGGTTCAACTCCAGCACGGGTTGTTTTGTTGTTTTTATGTGGCCAGACGACAAATGATTTTCACAATGAAGACGGTGTATATTTTAATCTGTTGTTGTTGAGACCAAAAGTTTAACACTGAAAAACTAAAAAAATTTAATTCTGATTGGTGCACAGACGTATGTTACATCACAATTTTTTTAAATGAGACGCGCCCACTTCAAACCAATAAAAAGAGCTCAGAGAAAAAAAAGAAATCTCTCATGTGAAATCACCAAAACTTTAGAGCAGAACGTAATGTGTTCATGTGGCCTGATTGAGAAAATAAGTTTACAGTACCTTCAAAGAAATTGGGACAATTAAAACATTTATTAAAAGCCTGACTGGATTATTTCAGAGGTTTTTCCACATGGTAGTAAATAAGTTAATACAGCACAGGATGGAGCCAGCAGTCATCTGTCCTGCGGAGTGAGCTGTGAGCTGAATGAACTGTTCTGGAAATGTAAGGTTATAAAAAAACAACATCTTGGTATGGATAGTGATAGAATAGAAAAAAAGTATTCAGATCTTTTAATTTGAGTAAATGTAGGAATACTATAGTATAAAAATACTCTGCAGCCCAGCATTCAGAGTTTCACTTAATTTAAAGCACATCATTATCAGCAAAAATGTCTTTAAAGTAAAAGTAAATCACTGGCGAAATTAACTTGACCAACTAGATTTACTTTACTTTTAACTGCTATACTGGTATTTTACATCATCATATTTTTCTAAACTGATCTTTGTAAACCAATATTTTGTATAAAAAACAAAGTAACTGCTTTTTTCCATCTGACATGTTGGAGAGTAAAAGTATAAAGAAGCTTAAAATGAAAAATCCGCAAGTAGATTAAGTAAAATACCTCAAAATGGTGCAACACTTGTGACACAATATATCTCACATACTACAGAGATATTTGCTCCCTGTTATTTGGTCATGTGGATTATATTGTATGTATTTAATCTACAGATCATAATATGTGCTCAGCTGATTGTATTTGTATTGTATATTTATTTATTTTTTACATGTCGGATCCTTTATTTAAAATAAAAGTCACAATACCAGAATGTAAAGTGCATAACTTTTATTAGCAGTGAGCATTATATTCCTATATATTATATTATAGAAATATTATTACTAATACTAATTTAATGTTGTATTCGGGTGAGGTGGAGCCAATTTGGGTAGTTAAGTCCAAGCATAATTTTAATTTTATTTTAATCACCAGTAACCAAGTACTGATCCTGGGGCTTGTTTGGGCCAATACAGCTACTGAATGCAACAGACTGCATTTTAACCCCTTGAACATTATCTTTTCTCCACCTCGTCCAAATTCAGGTATTGATTCACATAAGATTTATGTCCTGTGGGATGAAACCTGGAAGAATATAATACATAAACATGAGAGCTGCTCACCAAGTGCCTCCACTTCACTTGTGATTTATGACATTTAATTTTTAGTCCTAGCCTCACAACACAGTAATAACTTTAAAAGGGAATTCCACCTATAGCATTTAAAGCTACTATAGTTAGGATTTCAAAGAATTTGGCACCTCCCAGTGGTAGAATAAAGAAATACACAATAAGTAGTAGTCACAATATTCATAGACAATGATGAGCTACATGTATCACAACGCCAGTGGTGGAATAAGATCTTTAAATTGAATAAAAGTAGTGATACCACAGTGAAGAAATACTCAAGTTACAAGTTACTGAAGTCAAGCCTTCAAAATGTGTGTTAGAGTGTAAATGTATTTTCATCAAAAAATACTAATAAGCAAAATTGTCCATTTCAGAATTATACTGGATTATAATTACAATGTATATATAATGTGTATGTAAGCATCACTCAAATTTTGCAGCTATTATAATTGGGGCTAATTTGAATTACTTTATATACTGCTGGGTAACTAAACGTATAATAATACATTATAATGTATGTGTTGATTATATATGTAAAGTAACTTTTAGCTATCAAATTTTTGAAATGTAGAGTATACACTTAGTATAGCATTAAAAGGAAGTACTCAAATAAAGTACAAGTACCTAAAAGCAGTACTTAAGTACAGTACTTGAGTAAATGTACTTTATACTACTTTCCACCACTGCACATCACCTGCAGTCCATTAGCACCACATTATTGTTAATCTGTTGCTGGGCAGTGGTGGAAGAAGTAAGATCTTTTACGTGAATATTAATACTGTAAAAATACCCCATTAATAAGTAAATGTCCTTAAAAAGTAAAAGTGTTCATTAGTGCTTTGTCATATGATCATTATTACTGAGGCTTTATGTGTAAGCAGTATCTAATGTTGTAGTTGGTCAATGTGGAGCTAATATTAACTTTATAATGTTTATATTCTAACTTTAACTTATAACTTTATGCTGTTTGGATAGTTTAATATACAACAGTGCATTATATACTACAAGATGATCAGATATTTTATATGTAAAATCTAAATCTGCAAAGTAACTATAGTAAAATGTAGTGGATTACTCAAGTGAAGCACAAGTACCTCACAAATGTGCTTTTTAACACTTCTACTGGTAATCTGGACTGAACCATCATTCCCACATCATTGAGTGCTTTGATACGAACTACAGTAATAATATATTACATATATTTTAAATGACTCACAATAATGTGCTATAAATACTGCAGAAGGTATTGACTTGGATCACAGGGAAGTGCTTCAGCGTTACTTAGATAAATGCCGCCCTCTACTGTTTATCATTGATACTATCGGTGCTTTGATTACACATTTTTGACTTTGCTTTAGTCAAAATGTCTTTTAAAAACCATAAACCATAAGTTATTTTTATGGATAGTGTGTGAAGGCAAGTGAGGGCTATTTTATTTTACCCGCAGACATTAAAAATAAACTGAAAACACACATTTTTCACTTTATAATGAGCAGATAGTATTAGGTTTTCTCACAGGAGACATTTTGACTTTGTCCCAGAAAGAAAAAGCACCAGGGAAATAATGAAACTATTGATGCTGAATTCCTCTTTGGAGCCTCATTATCAGGGTCCTGGTATTGTGCAGACTCACTGTCACTACTTACTGGGACACTTACACAGAAGATTGTTCATCATCCTGAGATAACGTCTGTTAGGATTTGGCGACCTGCAAATAACATTCAACTGAATTAATTATAATTAGCCTGCAGATTGAGAGTAGTTGAAGTTTACCAGCTTTAAAGGCTCTACACACACACATATGCAGTAGTAGTATGGAAAAGTAATGCAGACCAAGGGTTGTAGTGAGGTGCTGATCACTGGAGGTGCTTGAGAGTCACACACTCTGGTCACAGTAAGACAAAAGCAGTGGAGTCTTGTAAAGGTAACACAGTAATCACACATCTGATGGAGATTAAACAGTCACTTCCACTATTAGAGAGGGTGAATTATGTGTAATCGGGGTGAGAACTACAGGGAAACCAGGGGAGCCGTCTAAAATACTGTTACAAATTGTTATTTTTGTCATGCACTTCTATATTTTATATTATCTTCATCATCATGGATTATGTGTAAACTTTTGATTTATGATTTGTGCATGAGGAGGATTCATCACTAATTCACTTTAATAAAGATACTGTTATTCTTGCCATCTCCGTTGAAGCGTGGCCGCACGGTATCATTAA